TAACCAAAAGCTGCAAAATTTTCTTAAAATTACCAATTCAGGGGCAGCAACCCAACAACGTGTTGCCTGATTGGTCTGAAAATTTCAGGGCAGATAGATCTTGACCTAATGAACAATTTTATTCTCATCAGATTTGCTCTAAATGCTTTGATTTCAGAGATATGAGCCAAAAACTGCATTTTACCCTATGTACTATTTTTTAGCCATGTCGGCCATCTTGGTTTGCGGGCGGGGTCATCGGACACATTTTTTAAACTAGATACTCTAATGATGATTGTGGACAAGTTTAGTTAAATTTGTCCTAGTAGTTTCAGAGGAGAAGATTTTTGTAAAAGATTACAAAAATTTACGAAAAATGGTTAAAAATTGACTATAAAGGGCAATAACTCCTTAGGGGTCAACTGACCATTTTGGTCATGTTGACTTATTTGTAGATCTTACTTTGCTGAACATTATTGCTGTTTACAGTTTATCTCTATCTATAATAATATTCAAGATAATAACCAATAAAATGCTCCGCTGGGGCGCAGCTTGATACGACCGCAGAGGTCGAACCCTGAACAGTTGGGGCAAGTATGGACACAACATTCAAGCTTGATACAGCACTGAATTTGGATTGTAATTAAATATTTGACACAGCATAGGTTTCTCACACAGAATGAAAGTGGTCTAAGAACTTAAAATTTTTTAATTTACCTATTCAAACCATATCGTTATTATTTGCTTTTATATATACATCAGAAATAACCAATTTAAAATGGAAAATTTTAAAGAAAAAAACATACATGTGATGGACTGTGAAACTCAGATCAGGAGATTGGAAAATTTTGGTCAGGAGATTAGGACTCAGATCAGGAGGTTTTTAATCGACATAAAGTTTGTCGTAAATGTAACCGTGTGCTGTAAAAATTGTCTTTTAAAGTGTGTTTTCTTCAACTCTCAATCCGAATGTATTATGTATTATGTTTATAGTACCCTTGTACTTATAAAGTTTCTTTATCTTAATATTCTACATGTTCAATCTAAGATTCTTTTTTTTTAGTATGTTCTTTAAATTTTTCAATTCATATCTTTTATTTCATTATTCTATAGGACAAACATTGCAATCAGATCATTTGTTTACCTATCTGCATTTGCAGTTAGATTTTATTTGAATAATCAGAAACTCATTAAAATTTAGAACATGGGTCATAATTATTATATGAATTCAATTTAAGCCTTGAAAGAAAGTACAGAACCCTCAAATAATTTTCAAATTATTATTTTTTGATTTGTCCTAAGACATTTAAAATCATTTAATTACCATCCTTTTATGATTATTTGTTCAATTTATATTTTATTTATATTCTTTTAAAAATTTACATTATTTAAAGGAAAGTAACTTAAAACAGGATAAATCAGGGGAAGTAACCCAATAAATACACAAAGTTTTTATTACACAACGGCAGTTAGCCTGAGGTAAAAATCGTTGATTACCAGTATGTTTGACACCCAAGCTGACAAGTGAAGCCATATAATTATGCATGTTAATTGATTTACAGGTAAAATATAACTTCAGGTGATGTCAGTTACACCAGATGTCTGAGATGATATGTTGGGCAGATTTCATACACAGGATTTTTTTCTCTTCAACGCGAGGTCGGGAGGAGACCCCTGAAAACGGGATTATTGTACTCCCGTCGGGAGGTTTACATGTATGAAAAAAAGAAAAAAAAATCCCCCAAATTTTTTTGAACCCCCTTATGATTCATCACCCCATTGGCCCAAACTCAATCCCAGCTTTCCCTTTGTGGTATGGTACCTTGCAGTACAATTTCAGAGAGATCCATACACTTGAACACAAGTTATTGTCTTGAAACTAGAAAAATGCTTGTTTTTTGGCCCCTTTTTGGCCCCAAATTCCTAAACGTTTAGGGCAATTACCCCCAAACTCAAACCCAGCTTTCCCTTTGTGATATGGAACCTTGCAGTACAATTTCATAAAGATCCATACACTTACAGTTATTGTCCTGAAACTAGAAAAATGCTTGTTTTTTGCCCTTTTATGGCCCCTAATTACTAAAATTTTGAGGGAATTACCCCCAAAAATCAATCCCAGCCTTCCCTTAGAGGTATGGTACCTTGCAGTACAATTTCAGAGAGATCCATACATTTGAACACAAGTTATTGTCTGGAAACTAGAAAAATGCTTATTTTTGGCCCCTTTTTGGCCCCTTATTCCTAAACTTTTTGGGCAATTACCCCCAAACTCAATTCCAGCTTTCCCTTTGTGATATGGAACCTTGTAGTACAATTTCATAAAGATCCATACACTTACACACAAGTTATTGTCATGAAACTAGAAAAATGCTTGTTTTTCGCCCCTTTTTGGCCCCTAATTCCTAAAATATGGAGGCAATTACCCCCAAAATCAATCCCAGCATTCCCTTTGTGATATGGAACCTTGTGATACAATGTCAGAGAGATCCATACACTTACACACAAGTTATTGTCATGAAACTAGAAAAATGCTTGTTTTTTGCCCCTTTTTGGCCCCTTATTCCTAAAATTTGGAGGCAATTACCCCCAAAATCAATCCCAGCATTCCCTTTGTGATATGGAACCTTGTGGTACAATGTCAGAGAGATCCATACACTTACACACAAGTTATGTCTGGAAGTTACAAAAATGCTTATTTTTGGCCCCTTTTTGGCCCCTAATTCCTTAACTGTGGGTACCATAACCCCCAAAATCAATCCCCACCTTCCTTTTGTGGTATTGAACCTTATGGTAAAATTTCATTGAGATTCATTCACTTAAACTAAAGTTAGAGTGCGAAAACTAATGTGTATTCGGACAACGACGCTGGACGACGACGACGCCGGACGACGACGACGACGACGACGACGATGACGCCAACGTCATACCAATATACGACCACAAAAATTTTTTTGCGGTCGTATAAAAACGGCAAAATTTCCTTAAAATTACCAATTCAGGGGCAGCAACCCAACAACGGGTTGTCCGATTCATCTGAAAATTTCAGGGCAGATAGATCTTGACCTGATAAACAATTTTACCCCACGTCAGATTTGCTCTAAATGCTTTGGTTTCAGAGATATATGCCAAAATCTACATTTTACCCCTATGTTCTATTTTTAGCCATGGCGGCCATCTTGGTTGGTTGGCCGAGTCACCGGACACATTTTTTAAACTAGATACCCCAATGATGATTGTGGCCAAGTTTGGTCAAATTTGGCCCAGTAGTTTCAGAGGAGAAGATTTTTGTAAAAGTTTACGGACGAAGGACGACGGACGCAAAGTGATGAGAAAAGCTCACTTGACCTTTCAGGTCAGGTGAGCTAAAAACTGCAAAATTTTGTTAAAACTACCAATTCGGTGGCAGCAACCCAACAATGGGTTGTTCGATTCGTCTGATAACTACAGGGCCTATAGATCTTGACCAATTAAATTATTTAACCCCATGTCACATTTGCTCTAAAAGATTTAGTTTTTGAGATATAAGCCAAAAACTGCATTTGACCCTTATGTTCTATTTTTAGCCATGGCGGCCATGTTTGTCGATGGAAACAAACTTCGGATACAATTTATAAACAAGATACCCTAAGGAACATTTAGTTAAAGTATTAAGGTAATTGGCCCAGTAGTTTCAGAGGAGAAGATTTTTAAATGTTAGCAAACTTGATGAACAAATTGTGTAAAATTGTCTTTAAAGGGCAATAACTCCTTAAGGGGTCAATTAACAATTATGGTCATATTAACTTTTTTGTAGATCTTACTTTGCTGAACATTATTGCTGCTTACAGTTTATATATATCTATAATAATATTCAAAATAATAACAAAAAACTGCAAAATTTTGTTAAAACTACCAATTCGGTGGCAGCAACCCACTAATGGGTTGTTTGATTCATCTGAAAATTTCAGAGCTGATAGATCTTGACCAATTGAACAATTTTACCCCATGTCACATTTGCTCTAAAAGATTTAGTTTTTGAGATATAAGCCAAAAACTGCATTTGACCCTTATGTTCTATTTTTAGCCATGGCGGCCATTTTTGTCGATGGAAACAAACTTCGGATACAATTTATAAACAAGATACCCTAAGGAACATTTAGTTAAAGTTTGAAGGTAATTGGCCCAGTAGTTTCAGAGGAGAAGATTTTTAAATGTTAGCAAACTTGATGAACAAATTGTGTAAAATTGTCTTTAAAGGGCAATAACTCCTTAAGGGGTCAATTGACAATTATGGTCATATTAACTTTTTTGTAGATCTTACTTCGCTGAACATTATTGCTGCTTACAGTTTATATATATCTATAATAATATTCAAAATAATAACAAAAAACTGCAAAATTTTGTTAAAACTACCAATTCGGTGGCAGCAACCCACTAATGGGTTGTTTGATTCATCTGAAAATTTCAGAGCTGATAGATCTTGACCAATTGAACAATTTTATCTACGGTCAGATTTGCTCTAAAAGCTTTAGTTTTTGAGATATAAGCCAAAAACTGCATTTGACCCCTATGTTCTATTTTTAGCCATGGCGGCCATGTTTGTCGATGGATCAAAACTTCGGATACAATTTATAAACAAGATACCCTAAGGAACATTTAGTTAAAGTTTGAAGGTAATTGGCCCAGTAATTTCAGAGGAGAAGACTTTTAAATAGTTTACGACGACAGACGACGACGACAGACGACGGACGCCAAGTGATGGCATAAGCTCACATGGGGCCCTTCGGGCCCGGTGAGCTAAAAAAGGGGAGAGCTAATGGGGAATGCATTTTTAACATGGAATGTTAATTTAAAATTACAGATGAGTTTTTTTTTCTTTACATAAACCTTTGGTGCAAACCCAATCCCTTTCTTGAGCCATATTTTAAATAGATAACAAATGTTAACCTTTGATTTAAGAATATAATGTATGGTGCTCTCAACAACTTATAGTTTTATATTTTTTTTAAACTCTTCATCAATACAAGGAACAACTAACAAAATTATTGTTCATATTTACTTAAAAATTCTGACTTTACATCAGATATATTAATTACCAATGTAGGTGGTCATTATTTACATAAATAAAATAAATATAATTATTAATACACTCATTCTATTGACACATGCAGTCATCCATTCACATAATTAGATATAAATGCTATATTGGTAACCACTGCTGAGTTGGTATATCAAGAATAACATCCATGTCAGGGGTACATCTGAAAAATAAATGGAAATAATTGTTTATTAACATGATTTAAATTAACTCTCAGTCCTATTTAATGATTTTTTTCTTATAATAAAAAGAATAATTGTTGTTAGAATAAAAAGAGAAGTGGCTCAATGACCCAGCAACTTATAGTCTATGTCTAAAATATCAACTCTGAATAGCTGTTATTGAATTTTAAAATGATTGGTTAACCTAACATTTTAAAGTATGAAACTATCTGGTGTGGATAAACATTGAAATCATCAGAGTGGTTGAAGATGCATTTTTTTTTACTGACTGATACAAACAGGGAATGACAGAATTTCCTTTTTTTACCTTTCTCCAAAGACAGGTGCAACACAAGTCCAGTCAAGTTAGGGTGATACATATCGTACCAGCTGTCCTCAAGTAGGAGATATACAGTGTTTTGTCTTTTGAGATGTCTTGAAAATTTAATGATTTTGAGGTTGGAAATAACTTTGGCATTTTTTGGTTATTAGAAATATAGAATCCAAAAATATCTTTTGATTTAACACTTTGGACAGAACTGCCTGTTGACTTTTAGTCTATTACAGTTGATTCTTACTTAAATGTAATCTGTGCGCTATTTATCACAAATGATACGGGGTCTCAGTGGCCGAGTGGTCTAAGTAGTTACTACTGTAATCACTAGCCAGTCAACACTGAGGTTGTGAGTTGGAACCCCGCTCGTGGGGGTGCACTCGACTCCAATCTTAATTGACTAAGATTGTCAGTTTTCCTATCGAAGGTCTGTGGTTTTCTCCGGGCACTCCGGCTTCCTCCACCAATAAAAACTAGCCACCACGAAATAGCCCAAAAGCGGTGCTTAAAACTGGTATTAAAACACCAAAAATCAAAATTCAAATCAATCACAAATGATACCCATTCTTATAACTATTTGGTAAACAGGACATTGATATAAAGTGACGGATGTTAAATGGAATCAAACAGTGTAGAATGCTGACATAAAGCTTGCTAACAAATTTTAGAAAGCTCTGATTTGCAGTTCCCACCAAAAATGTGGCCAAAACTTCATATATGTCCCTTATATGTAAGTATACAAGTATTTGATCATCAGAAAGTTGATGATCGATGAATTTGAAAACATATCACAAGTTATACCTCTAATATGTAGATACTTAGTATATGCCATTTTGTTTTTCTTTGTTGATATATATATATTTGTTTGTTTTTATAGTGATAAAGATTATAACACAAGAGTGCACACGCTGAAATGTCTCGCCTTCTTTACTAATCATTGATATTATGTTGATAGTCCTAAATATAAAGCTTTATTACAACTGTCACATAAACTTAACATTAACCAAGTAAACTAAACATTGACCAATGAACCATGAAAATGAGGTCAAGGTCAGATGAACCATGCTAGGCAGGCATGTACAGCTAACAATTCTTCCATACAACAAATATAGTTGACCTATTGCTTATAGTTTAAGAAAAACAGACGAAAACACAAAAACTTAACACTGAGCAATGAACCTTGAAAATGAGGTCAAGGTCAAATAAAACCTGCGTGACTGACATATAGATCATAAAATATTTCCATACACCAAATATAGTTGAACTATTGCATATAGTATTAGAAAAAAATACCAAAACTCAAAAACTTAACTTTGACCACTGAACCATGAAAATGAGGTCAAGGTAAGATGACACCTGCCAGCTAGACATGTACACCTTACAATCATTCCATACACCAAATATAGCTGACCTATTGCATGCAGTATTAGAAAAAAAGACCAAAACTCAAAAACTTAACTTTGACCACTGAACCATGAAAATGAGGTCAAAGTCAGATGACACCTGCCAGCTAGACATGTACACCTTACAATCATTCCATACACCAAATATAGTAGACCTATTGCATACAGTATAAGAAAAACAGACCAAAACACAAAAACTTAACTATAACCACTGAACCATGAAAATGAGGTCAAGGTCAGATGACACCTGCCAGTTGGACATGTACACCTTACAGTCCTTCCATACACCGAATATACTAGACCTATTGCTTATAGTATCTGAGATATGGACTTGACCACGAAAACTTAACCTTGTTCACTGATCCATGAAATGAGGTCGAGGTCAAGTGAAAACTGTCTGACGGGCATGAGGACCTTGCAAGGTACGCACATACCAAATATAGTTATCCTATTACTTATAATAAGAGAGAATTTAACATTACAAAAAATCTGAACTTTTTTTTCAAGTAGTCACTGAACCATGAAAATGAGGTCAAGGACATTGGACATGTGACTGACTGAAACTTCGTAACATGAGGCATCCATATACAAAGTATGAAGCATCCAGGTCTTCCATCTTCTAAAATATAAAGCTTTTAAGAAGTTAGCTAACGCCACCGCCGCCGCCGCCGCCGGATCGCTATCCCTATGTCGAGCTTTCTGCGACATAAGTCGCAGGCTCGACAACAATGTTGAATGCTGTACACCTATTTTTGACATTTTTACCTATTATGTCTGTTTGTTTTGTTCACACATTGTTGTCAATATAATGGAATTTTATGCAACTGTCATACAAGTGAGAGGTTTAGCTAGCTATAAAACCAGGTTTAATCCACCATTTTCTATAAAGAAAATGCCTGTACCAAGTCAGGAATATGACATTTGTTTTCCATTAGTTTGATGTGTTTCAGCTTTTGATTTTGCCATTTTATAAGGGACTTTCCAATTAGAATTTTCCTCAGAGTTCGGTATTTTTGTTATTTTACTCTCTAGTATAATGCAACAAAAGTTTCAAGGGAAATACTGATGGATGAAAGGACAGACTGACTCAAGGGCAGATGGACAGGGGTAAGCCAAAATACCCTTTTTAAGGAAGGAGGGTAAACCTAGTTTACAATAAAATCATAAATAACAATCTCTTAACTCAATTTGAAAGAAAATCAGTAATACACAATATTATTATATACGCTTTAATACAGATATTTTACAATTTAAAGAAATGATACTTACTTTTCTCTTTGTGGGAAGAATTCTGGAAACATTTGATACCTAGTGTTAGTTTTTGGATCTCTGAGTAACCTTTGAACTTCTTCTTCAATTTGTCTGTTTTCTTGTTTTAACTGCTCTTGATTCTTTCTGTGAATTTCTATTTCCTAACAAAAGCAAATAACAAATAAAAACTTAACATTGATTGATAATTCAAGTCAGAAACCTCTGTTCTTGTTGTCTTTAATTATACCTTTTTTTTTATCATTTATGAAATTTGGTGTTGATTGCAGAATTTTGATACTTCTTAAATATCATCAACCACTTTTCTAGGGTGATTTAGAAATAGACATATAATACTGACACTTTTTTATTTTTTTAAGATAAATTTTCTGTATTGCTAGGTTGCCGTTTTATTAATGTATACCCAAAATCTATTTCTATGCATATACACACATAACATCTGTTGGGGAGACAAATCATAATGGACTTCCCACTCATATGTTTCTAAGGGCAATTCAAAGAAAAAGTTAATAGGAGAGTTGGACACCACATTTTTTCTATGGGTATTAGGGATGTTTATGCATTTCCAAAAAAAAGATATTCTTTCAATCATAAATTCAGTGTCAAAATACTAATGTATATGGAAACTGATCTATTATACTATATAAAAAATAACCTGCATCTTGCCGTCAATTGCTGCTGTGTAAATGTGTAATGTTGACAACCAAAAACTAAATCTATTATCAGTAAAATATAGACAAGAGTGCACATGCTGAAATGTCTCACCTGCTTAACTGACCATTGATTTTATGTTGAAAGTCTTAAAGATAAAGGTTTTACTACAAGTATTACATAAACTTCCATAAAAAAAATCCATGACAATGAGGTCAAGGTCAGATAAATTCTGTCAGACAGACACGTACACCTTACAATTATTCCATATAACAAATATAGTTGACCTACTGCTTATGGTAATTGAAAAACAGACCAAAACACAAAAACTCAACATTGAACAATGAACCATAAAATGAGGTCAAGGTCAGATGATACCTGCCAGACAGACATGTACACCTGTCAATCATTCCATAAACCACATATAGTTGACCTACTGCTTATCATATCTGAGAAACGAACCTAATCATGTAACTTTAACCTTGATCACTGATCCATGAAATGAGGTCCAGATCAGGTCAACCCTGTCTGATGGGCATGTAGACGTTGCAAGGAACCCATATACCAAAAATAGTTATCCTATTACTTTTAATAAGTGAGAAATTCACATGACAAAAAAACTTATAATTTTTTTTCAAGCAGTCACTGAACCATGAAAATGAGGTCAAGGAGAATGGACAAATGACAGACAGAAACTTTGTAAGATATAAAGCATCCAGGTCTTCAGTTTTCTGAAATATAAAGCTTTATATAAATAGTTTACACTGCCCTGCCGGATAGTAATCCCTATGTCTCTCATACTGCAACTTTTGTCACAAATGAGACAAAAAATTAATAACACCAAGATCTTAATTTTTACTAGGGTGATAATTTATAGGAAGCTTCTGTCAAAGATTTTAAACTTATATGAAGGTTTGATTTTTATCCAAGTTTTAACATCTTTCAAAGACTGTACCTCAGTGTTGAATGCAAAAATTAACTAAGTCCAATTATGAGTAAACTAAAGAAATGGGGAAATAATTAAAATTTACTTTATGTTATCTTAACAACTATTTTACTAACCTTTGACATAACCATATTCTGTAAAGCCATATCTTTGAGACTAGGATGCATCATGGATATAGCTTTCTGACAAAAAAAAAAGAATCTATTTATGATATATTAACCCTTACATTAAATGCATCAAACTACACCTCCATACAACTGAACCAAAAAAAAAACAATTTTCTTTTCATGTTTAAGGCATCACAATTTACTTTTTCCTTTGATATGCTCAAAAACATTGACTACTATTATACTTTGGATTTATTAGTATTCTTGGGATACCAATTTTCGAGGATTTTGAGGTTACATTGTATAGGCAAACCAGGAATTAAAAAAAAAAAATATTCAACAAATTGTAATTATTTACTTTATGTTCCTAGGCGTACTTTGGCAAAACCATGAAATCAAATATCCATGAAACTACAATTTTTCCTCAATCCACCAAAAACTGGTATCCATGAAAATAAATGAATCCACAGTAGTTTTTCAAGAATCTTGTTAAATATAGCGGGAAAATTCCAATCAAAGAATCTTATAGGATTAAACACATTTTTTCTAGAGGTTATTGATGTGTAAACTGGGGCGATTAAATCACAAACTGAATAAAAGTCAAGTTTGTGAGTCAGCGACCCAGTTTACACATCAATATCCTCTAGAAAAAATGTGTTTAATCCTTATAATTCATAACCCAAACATTTGCAATTTTTTATTAGCATTTTTTTGGTACATTGGCTACTATTTACCATCAAATGCACAATTGACATTTCGTAACTAAGGAGTAAGCCGCCATATTGACTTTCTGAAATCCATTAATGTTCGATTAATGCAATACAATCTAAAATAAAATAACACCTACCTCAAAAACTTCGTTTTAATAAGATATTATTTACATTTGAAGCGTACAAGAAACGGAATAATCTTCATCTTGAGAGTTTTCATTCGTATGACGACAAGTTTTCCTATGACGTTATTGCGCCAAGCTCATTCAAGATTTTCGCGGAATTTTAATTTATTGTAAATTTATACAATATCAGAGTTGGAAATTATAGCCCGCCCGACCGCCCGAGACGGCCTATTTTACAATTGGGCGGTCAAAAATTAAATTTCAACAGTCCGGTGGACGGTCTATTTTTTGCAGGTGGTTGGGATTGCCTTTTTCTATTTTGGAATGAGTTCTCAGTATTACCCCATTCATAACAGCATGTAAGAATCATGACTGCCAATTAACCTTTTACTACCACGTGTTTACACGAGATTTCTGCAGGGAACATGGTGATACCTGTTGTTTGTAAGATCCGCACTCATTGGCTAGTTGGTATCGAATCGTCCAATCGCGATCATGTTTATTAATATAAAAAATAAATATTAGAGGAAGTACAAATTGGTTTTGGTAAACTCATATCTTTAGGACAGTACTTGGGCCTTTCGTCGCCGAAAATGCGAACTGCTGTTAACTCAACAGAAAAAAATAAATTGTACAATCAGTCTAAGAGGGAGTGGACAATTGTTCCTGGTTGGAAAACGGAGTTCGAGTGGTTGATTTGTGACGACTCGCATGGTAAAATATTGAGGAGCAATAAAATTATAAATGAAGCCAAAATTTTATTTTTCTTTGCTTAAAAGTAATTTTGTGGAACAAAGGTACAAACAAAGGCATGCTGAATTACACTGAAGACAAGCTAACACCCCCCCCCCCCCCCAGTACCCACCCCAAATTCTAAAAATGAAATCACACCTTGCTTCTGAACAAATGGTCATAAAGCTTGGCAGTGTCTGCTTAAATGTGCACTTGTAAGTCTTGTTGCAGTGTGTATTTACAAAAGCAGTCATAAGTCATTTTCATCACAAAAAATCCTCAAGTTTATCTTATAATACTTCTAGTCATTAAAACATCTCAAAACACAAAAACATAATTTAGAATATTGAAGGAAAATGGGTTGGATTTTTATTGCATTAATTTTCAGGGCTGGTAAATTTTGATCAGGACTGGTAATTTCTTTATGCAGCCAGCCCTGTGGTCTGGTAGACATTTCCAGTGAGTTTCCTACCCTGACAATATCCAAGCTTTTTTCTTTTCATTATTCATTAGCAGTTATGTATTTGTTTTTTTCAATCTCAATTTGCTTGAATCCCTTGATCCCATGCATCTGTATTGCGCACGAATAGATCACAATGAAGGTTACGAAAATAGTTTCGGCAACATGGTCTATTGAAGTGTAAACCAAGAAGAAAAATGCTAAAGGACCAATCCAATTCAAGTATATGTAGATATGCAAATCATATAAGAATTATTGGACTTTGTGTGTAATGGGTCATATTTAAAGATCAATTTATTTTTCTTTACCATTATATTAGTAACTTTTAAATGTATATTTGCTAAATGTTTTAACAAAATATTGAATGTGTGTAAAACAGTGATTTTTTTTCTTTTTTAGATTGTCTTTTGTTTGTGCATAACATGCATTCCTTTCCCATTTTAATTGATGCAAAATATACCAGCATATAGATACATGTATATATAAAGATACATATCTAATGCATTTACAATTTTCTTGAATGGACAATCAGAAAACACCTGTCAGAAGTTCTCTTTGTTGATATACAAGTGTTTTTGTGTATTATTTGGTGCTGCTGACAAATTGTTGGTAGTCTCTGATAATTTATTCATTACTCTTGGGAAAGTTCAGAGGTTAAAATATGAAAAAGACAGGAGTCAATGTTGAAGATCATAAATTGACCTTGATGTGTCTTTTCTGTTTTTATTATATTGTTATGTTACTGTCTAATAGACATGTTTCAAACTAATTACAATAATAACCCATTTCTGTCTGTAGAAACTGATTTGTTAGGACAATAATGCTACATAATACCAAATCCAAATAAACTAATAAATTTAGTGCATTAAAATAGAAAAAAATTTGAACATGCCTGAAAGATGAAAATATTTCTGCCAATAACAGATTTTAGTATACAAAATTAAATACTAGGTTGTCGGTAAAATAAGTCTTCCAAAACGAAAGTACTTATATAAGAAACCATGTAAAATAAAAATCTTATAGGACCTCTTCTTTTCTTTTTCTTCTTGTTTTGTTTTTGTCATGGCATTGTCAGTTAATCTAGACTAATGAGTTAATGTCCCCTTGGTATCTACAACCTCTTTATGCAATGATTTTTTCTTATTTATTTTAAAATTTATCTATAACTTATAAGTTATATCATATTGTTCAATCTCATGATGCATTCTTTTTTGACAATCGTTTAACTCTATAGATCATGGCTGACAGATTTATAATTTGAAGCTTTGGACAATGATATTTTTACCTTCCAGCTTGATGGTCAATTTCAACTAGGTTTAGAAATTTTAGGAAACAATATACCTAAATCCTAGAATAACCCAATACTAATTTTATAACTACAAAAAATAAATGTCACCTTGTTTTCAATATAAAAAGAACCATTTTTTATCTAAAGATAAAAAAAAACATTATTAGCTCTGTTTTGAATGTATGTTCCTTAAGATAGTTGAAACAAATTGTATTATCCCTTTTCTGAAATTGGTTACCATAAAAAAAAATAATATTTGAATAAATTTTCATATAATAATCTATGTATTTGCTTTACGAAAAAAAGCTCAGAAAAAGTCAATTGTTTTTTTTTTCTAAAGGAAACAAACATGCACAAAAATAAGGTACTTTCACAGAATTCATTGTAAATCATTCTATAGTATATCTACCATATAGTGACTGTACTGAAAGCTTATAAATATCAATTTCAATACATAGACAATAAATGTGTAATTTTGTCTATAGACATGAAAATATGTCAGAAGTTCTTGATATGCATGGAAATTAACTATTTCATTGAGAACACTAAATGATAAAATGTGTAATCTTATGCTGTATCAACATTTGATATAATATCAGAGAGCAAAGGCCCTGGCTGATATTCATCTAGGGTTGGTACAGCATGAGCGTGAAATTAAGTCAAATCTAGCCAGTATTATTCATTGTACTTTTTATATACTAATACTATATACAAGTTAATTGCATATGTAGTACAATCAAAGGCAATCGTTCTGTATCAGTCATATCAAATACAACATATATTTTGGCACTCATACCACATCTTCTTATATCTATCTATGATATCAATATCAGTTATAATTGCACAGCCTTTATCAAATTATAAAAAATAACATCAGTGTGAAATGTAATAAAGTGTATATGATATGTCTTTTTTCAATATCACATACAGTATCAACCCTCAACAATATAATCCTTCGAGTAGAGACTAATGTTGTTTTTCTGCTTATAACCTCTTGAATATCAGGATCAAACAAGCAAGAGAATTTTGTAAATAATACAAAACTCTTAAGTGTTATTTCAGAGAATGTCTATTGAAAATGTTCCTTTATATTGCATTTCAAATGTATATAAAATTGTATATATGCTATTTCTCTGGCAGTGTATTATATAATATAATCTTCAATAAGTATTCACCTCAGTGATTTCCTTTGTGATTGCCTGTGATCTTTTCGACCTATCCTTTTCATACTTGGATAATTCTGTGTAAATTATGTGTTCTAAATCTTCTTGGTCTTCCTGTTAAAAAAATTGACAAATCTTATTACATATCAAGACATAACATAAAAGATGGCAATTTTTAAAATAAAAGACAGATAACATAGGTAATCTATATCTATTATCACCTGCTTGTAATAGATTTAATAAACTGAAGCAAACTAAACTTTTAAAAAAAATTCAAAGACTCAAATGGTCGGGTATGTAGAATGTTTCTTAAACACAGGAGAATGCTCTTTACTGAACATTTAAATATTTGAAGAATGGCTAAGTTCCCAAAGCTGGAAAAATGAGGAAAAATTCCTCAAACAATTCTATAATAGCAGGTGCACAATTTCAACATATGTGCAATTTTCCTGTGAAGTTTCAGGGATCTGGGTTGAAAACTGTAACAGGAGTTGATTACACAAAACTTGTACCCGCTTACATTAATTTTGCTGAAAAAAAGTTCCCAAGTCTGGAAAAATAAGAAGAAATTCCTCAAACAATTCAATAATAACAGATGCACAACTTCAACATGTGTGATCTTCCTGTGAACATTACACAAACTAGGTACACACTTTTCTCGTTGCTCACCCATCCGCCCAACATCACCATACTAAAGGCTAGTTTTGGACTACACTCAACACGGCCAAAAACTGACAAGGTATTTAAGGTGATAGTGTACAGTATATTTCAATGTGAAAAGTTAGTCAAGGCAATATTGACTTCTAGAACCCATGAAGTAGAATTTTCATTAACAAAGTCAACTAGATCTGTAAAGATCAAAGTTAAACTTTTTTTTCTTGACAGAGGCCTTATACTCATACTACTTGTTACATCATGTAAAAACTTGATTCTTTTATAAAACATACTACTACATGAGATATATGAAAACTGCATGGATCAAGTCTTATAACCCTAAAATAAAATAAATGGAGAATGTGTCCATGGGACACAGATGATGCCCCCACTTGCATATAATGTTATAAAGGGACATAACTCAAAAACGGTAAAAGCGATGTCACCCAAATTCGAACTTGATCTGATTTTTGTGGTAATAATCATTGTGTATAAGTTTCATAACATTTGGTTGTCAGAGGCAAACTTAAATTAGAGAACAGAAACTAAAAATTCAGCAATTTTTCCATTTGTAAAGGGGCATATCTCTAGGATGGTAAAAGTGACACCAACTAAACTCAAACTTGATCTGTGTTTTGTGGTAATAAGCATTGTGTATAAGTTTCATAACATTTGTTTGAGGCAAACTAAAGTTAGAGAACGGAAACCAATTTCGGGACGTACATAAGGACGTACAGTACTAGTGGACAAGGGTAACACTTAATGCCCCTTGGGGGCATAAAAACTCAGTAATAGCATTGAGTCAATAGCAGACAAACTTGATTTGTTATCTTTAAACTCTTAAATCTTATTCAACAATATCAAACAACCCTGATTGATTTTTTTAAATCTGAACGAAGATTATGAGACATACCTGATTTGATATTTTTAAACTTTGTATTTCTTTCTGGAGTGTTGCAATCCTCATGGCCTTCACAGGGTATTCTTTATCCTAAAAATAGATTAAAATATGAATAATTTGCATTAAAAAAGCTTAATAATGGTTGTCCATAAATAACTTCTTGAGCAGTCATTGCTTATACCTCTGACCTACCTAGGTTAACCCTGATTTTTGAGTGGTTTGTGTTGCTCAATCTTTAGATTGTAATGTTTTGTGGACTGTTGTTTGTCTTATTACTCAGTATTTGTTTGTCAATTATCTTGTTGTTATGTTAATTATCTTTTAGGTTACATGGTGACTTTATCTAAATGCTCTTTAAGATTTCTTAGTTTAAGAAGAAAGGCATAAATGCAAGTTATTTGAATAACCAATCATAAAATTACGAAGAAGACTGAAACACATATTTTAGAGAGATAAAACTCATTTTTGCATTCCCACTAATTTTGGCCTCTAAAACTAGTGCAGTCCAGCTTATTACAAGGGCTTCATGCTGCTTTTATCTTAGTTTTCAATATAGCATTTTTTGTCTATCCTTTTGACCTAATAACCAGGATTTCATTTCAAAAATTCAGATTCTGTCATGCATCAGGGTAGGATAATTTACATCTTTCATGGCCATCTTCCCACATTGCTGTCATGATACATAGTCAAAGACGTATATCATATACATGGAACATGATGAACTGTGTTGATAAATTTAGAACTTACTTTGTAATTCAACAATGTATGTAGTTCTTCTTGTTTATTTTTCAGTTTTCTATCTAAAGCATCTACTTTTTCTTCCAAAGCTGCAAAAAGTATAATATAAATTAGTACGAAAAGCTGATCTATTCAAGATGAGGTACAAGTTACATTTAATTTTATTTTTAAAAGGCCCCTTATTTCTTGAAATAAATGGAGAGTGTTTCCATATGACACAGATGATGCCCCCGCTTGCATATAACGTTAAAGGGACATAACTCAAGAATGGTAAAAGTGATGTCACTCAAATTCAGACTTGATTTAAGTTTTGTGGTAATAAGTATTGTGTATAAGATTCATCACATTTGGTTGAGGCAAACTTAAGTTAGAGAATGGAAAAGAAAAATTCAGCAATTTTTCCACTTTGTAAAGGAGAATAACTCTAGAACGGTAAAAGTGTTTTGTGGTAATAAGCATTGTGTACAAGTTTAATAACATTTAGTTGAGGAAAACTAAAGTAAGTGAACGGAGAACAGAAACAAATTTGGGATGTACTTACGTATGTACTGATGTACTACATATGTACGGAAGTTCATACAGATGGATAAAGGTAACACTTAATGCACTGCAGCAGGGGCATAAAAAAGGATATGTGAGAATTATACATGAATGAGATAACAACCCAACAACACAAAATAAACAATCCAAAAAAACAAACACTTTCCCAGTTCTATCCTTGGGCATCATTCAATAAATGAAAAATTTAAATTGTTTATGAACAAATATTCCTTTATATACAACTTATTCTGTAAAGATTTGATAATTATAACTGAAGTTTTTAAATAAACAAACTTTTCTAACAGACAAAATCTGCAAATTATTTAAATAACCTTAAAATTAACCAACTGGCATAAAATCTTGAAGGGTCAGAAGGCATTTCTGACAAATTTTATGGGTGATGGGTATTTTAGAAAGATAGTCTGAACAAAAATAGAAAATAATGAAATAACTTTTATGCATGAAGGGGTAAAATAAAAAGTGCCTACTGACCACACTCAACAATTATTTCCGGAATAGTCCTTGTACAAATACAAGCAAAGTAATTAATACTAAAGGAAATAGAATTTCTAGATGACAGGGACTTATGATGTGCTGCAGTTTAACAAATTTTAACACATGCTTAAAACTGGTTGGACAATACATGTTAGCATATTTATAAAATGTCTGCCATGAATCTCTGGATCAGCTTTTTCATACCTGATAATATCATTTGTGTTCTCTGCTTTGTCTGTTGTAATTCATCTTTTGTCTCCTTATGTTCTCTTGAAAAATTTGTATTTAGAGTTGAAATACCTCCCTAAAAGATGAAGAAAAAAAACAATAAAATAATCATTTAAATGAAGGAATAAGACATATCAATTTTTGTTTTTGTTTATGGACTCTTGGGATGATGAAATTTTCAAATTTGAGAGAATTCTGAAAAATTTTCATTTATTTTTTTCACTTTTTTAATCTTTTTTTGTGGTAATTTATTTTTAAAACATTAAAAAAAAAAGGAAACTTTTTTGGACAATCATTGATGGGAAAATTGGTGTGTAGGAATATGAATCAAAGGTTTTATTTTTATATGTTGTAATTCCTTTCATATATGTTCTGTAATTAATTTACCCTGTATTTTTCATATCTTCTCAGTAAAGCTTTGACATCATCCAATGTGCCATGCTCTTCTGTTTCTACAGCACATCTGATCTTTATATTCTCATTTAGCCTGTCAGAGGTTAAGGAAATACATGTTCTGTTAACTTAACTGTTCATTTTCATTATTATTTCAAACTTGGTAATATTATTAGATTTACTACTTTCATTCTAATTCCTTAATTTGTCTTGTTCTCTGAATTTCAGGTTTATTAGCAAAACTATAAATAATTTCACAAAATATAAAGCCATCAAAATATATATCATCACCTACACAATTCATTTATTAACTGCCCTCAAATACAAGTATAAAATATATCAAGGTTTTATACAGGTAGATATCATTAGTTCAGATTTTTAACAATACATTTACTAATAGGATGGCCCAAATATGTAGCCTATAATATTTTACAGGACTGATTTAGATTAACTTTTTGTATATCCAACAATTACATTTATAAAAGTAATTCAACTGATTAATTATCAGTGCATATATAGTGCATAACATACCAATTCCTTACTTCAGACTACTCTAAATTCAGAAATGTTTGCAATGTGTTTGAAATACTATTGCAAATAAAGAGCGACAGGAGGTGTTCAGAAAATTTGATAGCATTATTTGTATGCAGCATTTCCTGAAATGACCATAATTAATCCCATATTTTTGTTCATTGTTCAACAATCACAATAATAAATGCATGCAAAAATTTCTGAGTTTACAGTATAATATGTAATAATGGGTATCAAGACGCCTTTATAATGTTCTCTGAAAATTTCTGAATTTGAAGTTGAAGTTAAAGTATCTAAACCAGAAAACACCAATAATGTAGACAAATTTACAAAATAAAGAATCAAATAATGCAGGAGCCACAAGTAAAAAATGCTTTCAAACCCTATTACTATGTATTTGTATAGAAATGCCTTATAGACAATCATTGGTCATAAGTAAAATAGGATACAGTTCAAAACTTCTTTTCTTGTATTCTTCATTTGTCCTCTTTCTTGTTTTTATTCTGAGCTGAAAATAAGAACACATTCCTGTTAATTGATGACATATATACTATGAGAAAGGAAATACACTTCATGAAGACCCATACCATTGTATAAACAAGTCAAATAAAAAAAAAAAACTTTTTATCACAACAAACTACGATTTTCCCAAAAATATTCAGTTGGTTCATGTCTGTCATTTTTTGTTTTTCATAAATAGTTTTGTTAAAAATTAGGCCGCTTGATTGAATGGTTTCAAATTCTTTTATAGGATATGGATTTTTCTCATTGTTGAAGGCTGTACTGTTGCCTATCAATTACTCACATCCATTTCATTTGAACTTTGGTGGATAGTTGTCTCATTGGCAATCATACCATAGCTCCTTCTTTTAGTAAGGAATCTTGAACCTTTATATATTCACCCAGTATATTTATATTTCCAGACTTCAATACTCAAAATCCACCTTTTCTTGGCCAAATTAACAATGAAAATCATATTTTCAGCCCTCTTACAAAAATTACTGAATCCACTCATTTTTACTGAAATTATTGTGTACACAAGACAAAAAGCACCTTTTTCAATAAATATCAAAAATTTCTCAGAAATATTTGCAGATTTCAATCCATCTAAAACTCAAAGATATTCATATCCGCAATGCTTTATTTGAAATGGATAATTATTTTTCAAATTAGTCATTGCATTTAATACAAAGAATGTGTGATGGACAGACAGATGAACAGTCTAAATCTTCTCACCAAAGTGGGGAGTGATAGTAAGAATTTACTTTTGAAGGTGGTCAATATTTGAATAATCCATAAAAATAAATATCCGGAATACAACTCTAATCATAAAAGTCTGCTTCCCTAAGAATTTTCCAATAGCAATTTACCTCTAAAATCTTAATTCTTTCAGTTCTGCCTTTATCTAGTTCTGCTTGTTTAGCTGCCTCCTTCTTTTCTCTGTAGGTTGGCACATGAATACCCTTTGAAGGTTCTGCAGATTTAGCTCTCAATCCAACAAGAAAAGATTTACTTGCTAAAAAAACCACAATAATCAAAGTAAATCTTTTGAATAAAAAGTAAAATAATCTCACACCGACTGACAATATTATGGTAATTTCTAAAACATCCTACCTAGCCTTTGAGTTAAGTGTTAGATAAGAAATGGCTAAAAATGCCATGTAATTTTTAGTTTCTCAATTGTTTGAATTGGAAATCACAAAACAAATATAAATTAATAAGTTCAATTTCATTAATTTACTAATAAAAAAGAAACTTTTGCCTGAGTTATGTATGCAGGTTTCCTGATAACAAGTTGATTGAATACAAATCTTTTTAACATACGTGTATTTCCTATAACTAACTCTTAAATGTTACAACTTCTAAACAGAATATTTAAATGATAATTTGATAAAACTACTAGTAAAATTTTCATAAATCATACTAATTTTTATTCAGTAACAGATAGAAGATCTAAATATGTAAACCACTAAGTTAAAGGGGAACAAATTTACATTGACAAATATGTAGTGTTTAATATACAAACCATCAGGTTTTACGAGAGTTTTACTAGGTTTACTTCTTCTTGTCCATTGTTCATAATCGGCGAATTCTAATTTACTGTCTAAAGTTTTCATTAAATCGTCCTTAGCTGGTGCACCAGCCATCTTTGAAATTTCTTTCTCTGTAAATAATTGAAAAACTGATAAATAAATATATGAATAATAGTAGAACTGCTTGATATTGCCTTGCAAACATCAAATTGTCTTTTATTTATTTGCTACTGTAGTAAATGTTGGTTTAATTTACCACTTATGAAATATGGTAACATCCCGATAAATAAAGATCTGCCAACTAGCCCCACTTATGAAAAAGAGTAAAATACTGATGAATGTAGTCTTGCCAACTCATCCCACTTATGAAAGGTATTTTATTATCTACACAATCTCCCCAACTGTAGTGCTGAAATAACTTGGCAGGACTAAATTCAACATGATTTTACCCCTTTTCATAAGTGGGACGAGTTGTCAGAAGGCGGATTCCAGAAAAGAAAAGGAAATGTCCGTCAAAAGGAACAAATTAATAAAAATAATACTAACTGTTATTTGAATAATAATCTGTGAATGTTTTAATGAATAGTAACGTTAAATGAAGCAAGAAAACCAATTATTTGATATGATTGTTTCCATTAAAAGTAGAAATGATAAAAACAAGTTGAAAAATTTGAAATGTTTGACGGAAATAACTTCCCATTTTTTGACACAAGGTTTCTGTGTTACAACGTTTTATGTTGACACTGGTATAATGGTTTTTATTAGTGTAGTCTGATTATTCAAACATCCCTGTTTCCAAATCTTTTGCTTTTCTTTTGTTAAAAACATCTGTGATATATTTTTTTTTTCAATTTCAAATACCTTGCTTATTAGTCTGTCAATAAATGTTATGATAGCAACATATCATCATAAAATCTTGCCACATCATTGTAGGTACTTATATAAGCCTGTTAAAAATTTAATGTATTTCATAATGTGCATTAAACAAACACATGTTGGATCTTTCAATTAACTTTATTTAATCAATAGTTTTATCAAATCTGTTGCTAAGTCAGGAATCTGATGTTCAGTAGTTGTCGTTTGTTGATGTGGTTCATAAGAGTTTCTCGTTTCTCGTTTTTTATATAGATTAGACCGTTGGTTTTCCAGCCATCTTTGAAATTTTTTTCTCTATAAATAATTGAAAAACTGGTATATAAATATATGAATAATAGTAGAACTGCTTGATATTGCCTTGCAAACATCAAATTGTCTTTTATTTAAAGTTTGAATGGTTTTACACTAGTAATTTTTGGGGCCCTTTATAGCTTGCTGTTCGGTGTGACCCAAAGATCCGTGTTGAAGACCGTACTTTGACATATAATGGTTTACTTTTATAAATTTTGACTTGGATGGAGAGTTGTCTCATTGGGACTCATACCACATCTTCTTATATCTACTAACATAAGTTCTGTCAAACTTGTCATCTTATGTAAGCAACATTTGGATGTGCTACAAATTAGAGTTATTGGTCCTGGGTTGAAATCTTGTTAAATATCAGGTGGCGGTATTTTGCAGGAGTTCTAAATATGACTTTCAACTAGTATAAGATCTCCAATATTAGTTTAAAATCTCAAATATATATTGTCTGTCAAATTTGTCTTTTGTTAGCACAATCTTATGTTAGCATCAAGTCCGCCAAAATCTTATGTTAGCAACACTATTTAGTCTGTCAAATCTTATGTTAGCAACAATAATGTCTGTCAAATCTTATGTTAGCAACAATGATGTCCGTCAAATCTTATGTTAGCAACAGAAAACTCCATCAAATCTTATGTTAGCAACAAGAAAGTCCGTCAAATATTATGTTAGCAGCAATAAAGTCTGTCAATTCTATTTGCAACAATGTTCATTTTTGTCAAATCTTATGATAACAGCATTGTTCATGTCTGTCAAATCTTATGTTAGCAATTCCAAGATAATATTTTTTTAAAGCTATTACAATTCCTTTTTTATTGGTGCAAACGTTAAGAAATATTTTATTCCAATTTGCCTTTCATATTTAAGCAAGATATACATCCAAACCTTGAAAATACTGAAGATATTAGGATTGTTTGTGTTGCTAACATAAGAATTTTCCGTCAAAATGTCTGTCAATTTTCTTATAAATATGATAGCAACATTTTTTTAAGGTGTCCTTTATTTAAAAAATATAACATGTATAATGTGAATAGAACTATTTTTGTCAAAAAGTTATTACTTATATAAGTATAACATTTATTCCAAAACAGAACTTAATTGGTGTTGATTTGTCAAACATAATTTGGGGAATTTTTCAACTTTCTTATTTGGAATCTGCCAGAACTGAATTTGACATGATTTTACCCTTTTTCATAAGTGGGGCGAGTTGGTGGAAAAGTGGGGCGATATGGCAGTGGGGCGAGTTGTCATGAATTCTTCTCATACATATACATAAATGTTGACACAGAAGCAGGACATTGATCTGATACCTTGTGAAAAAAAATGGCAATAATTAATAATTTGATAATTCTAATCACACAATAAATGGTCCTTTTTGTGATAAATTTTTGTATAGAGTTTCCTGTGTGAAACTGAAATCTAGGAAACGACAGTTATGCATTCAGGGTGTACTGTAAGTTAGGATTTCGAGGACTGTATAGTCTATAGTCACTTTTGCGTTATATGAAACCGACATTCTTTGAATAACGGCAGTTGTTACGCGGGATTTAATACATGCAAAAACCATGTTCAATGTGTTCTTGGGGTATGTTAAATTTTAACCATTAACACACATCGTGAGCATACAAATTACAATCTCGTGTACATCGTTTTACGTGTTTACATATGTCCTATTTTTACCAGCATGTGTGAATTGTAAGTTTACCTTTTATTAAGCGTTATTATTATTGTTAAGGCAACTGTGGTTTGGAATGAAATTGATAGACCGCATAATGCAGTAGAAATTCATAAAAGTCAGATTGACATCATTTTTTGAGAAATTTGTCCGCCATTTGTGTTTTTGTTTCCATAGTACTAAGGAGAGTGAATACAAGGGAAACAACTCTGGTAAATAACACCGGGATTTTTAAAATATCCTAGTCTTTGTTACTTTAAAAATATCTGAGCCTTTTCCATGAAAAATTACGCTTTTAATGTCTTATATCTCTTCCTTAATATTTTTTTTGGCTTTCTCCTTTACTCTGTTCGGTTCAGAAATCATTCATAATAAAAACAAGCAGAAGTTGTGAAATTAAAATATACAATATATTATAATAGAAATATGTATCATTCCAAGGATTTGTATTTGTGCAACTAATGATTTGAAACCTTTACAATGCTGGTGAATCAATAACAGTACAAAAATTAATGCACAAAAATCAACTTTGAAAGCATATGAAACACTATAAGTTCGAAATAAAAACTCAGTATAGTAAACACAACTATCAGAATTATTTAATTAATAATATTACATTCAGCGAAACCCGTGTTGAGAATGTTTATTCTTTCAATTTTTTTTTGTTGCTTAACAGGTTCAAAAGTTATCCTTCTGATAGACAGCAAAGGGTTGGAGTAAATGGTTATTTTTTCAAATTGGAATACTGTTAAGCAAGTCGGATTTGTATATTGAGAGGTCTCACTATACAAATCCTTGTGTTAAGGCAGGAGTTCCTCAAGGGTCCATCTTGGGCCCTTTTCTGTTTTTGTTGTTTGTAAATGACATAATAGATGTAGTTACAGACTAAATAAAACTGTTTGCAGACGATATCTGTTTATATTGTGTTGTAGACGATGAGAGATCAGCAGCTGATTCATTAGGGCAAGATCTAGAATCATTAGATTAGTGGGCAGGAGATTGGGGTGTAACCTTCAATGCAGATAAATCTATGTACTTTACGAGAAAAAGTAATGTTGATGTTACATCATTATGCAGGAATAATGTACCTCTAGAAAATATATCAGAACATAAACATCTTGGCATAACCCTATCATCTAATATGCCAGATGGGCAAGTCACATACAGGATATTTATACAAAAGCTTGTAGACGTCTTAATATTATGAGATATTTAAAAAACAAGATTGATAGACAGTCTTGGAAAGACTTTATACTGCCTTTATAAGACATATTTTGGAATATGGGAACATAATTTGGGATAACTGTAAAAAAGAAGAATCAGATCTAATTGCGTCTGTACACTAGTAGCTGCTGCTAGAATTGTATCTCCGTTACAGAACTGAAATGTTTGCTGCAGACCTGCAAACATAAAGCTTGCAGGAACCCTTTGAATAATGTTTGCAGATGTTTGCAGCTAGCTGCAAACCTCCTGCAAACATTGCAGCTTTTTGTATCAAGCTTGCGGCAAGTTTGCAGAAACAATTAATATGTTTGCAGTAAGATTGCAGGAAAAACAAGAATATAAGGGATGTTCGCATGCAGCTAGATTGCAGAAATCTTTGACAATTCTATATGTTTGCAAGAGGATTGCAAGAATTACATAAAATGACTGAGCATGCCTATTGGTAACTTCCTGGAAGATAAAATTTTTATAAATTTTATAATGTTGAGTCATGTTATATATTAGTGTTCAGGGAGGCTTTTTTTGGTTGGAAATTAAATGTTTAGTTTTCAAACACATTATTTGTAAGTACAAACTCTTCATAGAACTGTAAACTTATGTTTTCAAACACATTATTTGTAAGTACAAACTCTTCATAGAACTGTAAACTTATGAAATTCCACAAATACCTGCATGAAGGTTTGAAAAACATTTTCAAACATATAACTAATATACAGTACTTTCTAATATGTTTGGAGATTGTAAAAGAGGGACGAAAGATACCAGAGGGACAGTCAAATTCATAGATATTATGTTGCAATAAGTCAAGTTGAATGTTGTGACAATATTAATTTAACTAGCTGTATATATGCACAAAATAAATTTCAAATAAACCTTTTTTCGTATTTTAGATTCATGCATGCAATTCATTTGAGCACTTGATGAAGTATTTGAGTTATTGTATGTATGTATGCAACCTAATTATATCAGAATTTACTGTGTAATATAGATAACGTGATGTGTACACAACATGACATTGGTTAATTGTATATAATGTATGTAGTTCCTGCAAGTTTGCAGCAAAAACGCAGGAAAAAGATTAATTTGAATATAAATGTTTGCCGCAGGTCTGTAGCAAACACGCAGGAGAAAGATTAATTTGCATAAAAATGTTTGCAGCAGGTCTGCAGCAAACACTAATAAATGTTTGCTGCAGGTCTGCAGCAAACACTCATTTGTATGGTAAATTGTTTGCAGCAGACCTGCAGCGTATTTGCAGCAAACATGCCGCAAATACAGACTCTGTGTTCGCTGCAAGTCTGCAAATATTTGCAGGATGCTGATTTTTTTTCAGTAAGGGAGCTGGGTTTCAAAAGGGAACACCTAGATGGAAATTATACAAGGAATTAGGTTGGGATTCCCTCCAGAATAGGCGACAGAAAAACAAATTATTGTTTAATCATAAAACCATTTCTGGAGATATTCCTGATTACATTGCTGCTGATGTTTTGTCTATGCAAACACTAATGTTCAGTATGGTCTGAGAAATAAAAGGGAATTTACAACTCCTCAGTGTCGAACCACAGCCTATAAAAACAGTTTTATTCCCCATACTCTTGAAAAGTTTAATTCACTTGATGGAGAAGTAAAAAATATTATAAGCTTTACAGGATTCAAAAGAAAGCTGAATGAGGATATAAGTCCCTGTCCAGTTTTCTTTTCCACTGTTTTACGAAAAATTAATATAATTCGCTGCCATTTGAGAAATGAGGCTAGTGACCTAAAACATCACCTCTTCTGTGATCATTTGTCGGACAGCTCTATGTGCACGTGTGCATGTGGAGACCCGATAGAAGATAATTTTCATTTCTTCTAGGTTTGTCCATTTTACGTTTATCACTTAGCTCTTTCGAAAACTGAGGATATTTAACAATATCAATCTTGAATGTCCTACTACAGGGTTGCTCAGATTTAAATATTGATGAAAACACAGAGATATTTACATATGTCCAACATATATATATATTCATGAAACTGGAAGATTTTTATAATATCTGATGTAATGATATCACTGTTTAAAATTAGTCTATAACCACAGTGTACCACTCTTTAGTCTTTATTAAAGACAACACTAACATCTAACACACAAAAAAATAATCAATTGTGTTATCATCTTTTTGCAAGTAAATTTATTGATATTCTATTTCATATTTTCTATTAATACTTATGTTATAAAAGAAAATCAAGAAATTAACAGTCTTTGTAATAAGATGGTATACTAAATTACTATGTATTGCAAAATAAGGGGCAATTATTATTATTATTTATACAAATAGAGCAACTTTGTTGCAGTGAGTTAGTGAATTTGAGTAAATATCACTTAAAAGATTTATTTGATTCTTTATCATTTCGTATTAATGTGGTATAAAATTTGACATTATCATCTTCAGTAGCGAACTTGCAAGGGATCACTGATAATTATTATTCCCAATAAAATATTTCAATAATTGGGGAGATTGCCTCCCCTGACTCACTGCAACAATGAATGATCTATGAATTATCAGAAATATATTATATACTATCAGATTATTCAATCCATCTTGTATGGGAAAGGATTTGTATAGGCGTTGCCTTTTGTACAATCCCTTTGTTTAAATGTACGTTTGACATATGTGATATTTGAACAATAAAATATTTTGAATTGAGTTGAATCTTTCAAATTTCTTGTAATTGATGCTATTTATTTTCATTTCCATCCTGTTACCAGCAAGATTGCAAGATTATTTTTTATCAAATTTTACTAGGCTAGAATATTCATTTTAAAACTCCTCTTTTAGCGGCAGTCCCAATATTTTCAAATGGTCGTCCCCTTTTACCATGATATTATAGGCCTACAGTAATGTGAAATTCTTGTTATTTCAAAAATGTTTTTCGGACAGCTTAACGTTCTTCATATCTTCACCTGCACTTAGTAAGTTACTTCTGAATCAATGAACTTCCATTTGAATTAACAGATTGCTATTATATATAATTAACAGATAGTAAAGAGCTTTGGCATCCTATTAAAGCGTCAAAGTCCTCTATTATTTCTAATTTATATCAATAATTTACCACTTTATATTGAACAATCCAACATGCCGGGATTTATATGCTGACGTTTGCACTATACAATACCCCAAGTGTATCAGCAGCTCTCTAGTCGGACATGACTTATAACAAACCTTTCTTAAATTGTTTATAAATTTAGCAATGATTAAAAACTAAGGATTTAGCTCACTCAGCCAAAGTTGACCTTAGATGGATTTGGCTATTAATTTAGGAACCAATTGTGCCCCTCTTCTTGTCGACTTGTTTCTTTATCATTATGAGGCTGACTTCATACATGAACTTCTTAGGAAGAAAGATAAGAAGTTAGCAATATCCTTTAACTTTACGTTCCGCTATATAGATGATGTTCTCTCACTAAATAATACAAAATTCGGTGACTATGTTGAACGAATCTATCCCATCGAACTAGAGAAAAAGGATACTACAGATACAGTTAAGTCTGCCTCATATCTTGACTTACATCTAGAAATTGACAATGAGGGTCGGTTGAAAACAAAACTTTACGACAAAAACGATGATTTCAGCTTCCCAATTGTGAACTTTCCATTTCTATGTAGCAACATTCCAGCAGCGCCTGCATACGGAGTATATATCTCACAGTTGATACGATATTCCCGGGCTTGTATTTCCTATCATGATTTCCTTGATAGAGGATTGCTGCTCACAAGGAAGCTATTAAACCAAGAGTTCCAAATGGTGAATTTGAAATCATCCCTTTGTAAATTTTACGGACGCATATGCAACTATTCCAGTCATAGTTACGTTCGATAACTCTGCATGTTACTGGTTTAATAAGAAAGTATGTCACATTTACTGGTTACCCGTGTGATGATTAAAAAAATGAAAAATATAGATATTTCACC